TATATATATATATATATATATATATATATATATATATATATATATATATATATATATATATGGTTCTCTTTCCCGACTAAAAGTGAACTTTTTATTACAAAATTCTTTTTCTCCTACGTCAAATTTTCATTCAATTTTATTAATTATTCTTTCAAGACATAAACAAGATCTGGAATATACTTCTTTAATATTCTTTAGCCTATGAACCATTAATTTCCTCTTATTTATATTTATAGAGGTCTCCTATCAACACAACCCTAATGAATCTTGTCCTATTAGGTATTGGATCTTTATCTAACTATCCAAATCTCTTAGATCAATGTATCTCTATCCAATAATATCTCATTAGCTCTTATTAGATCTCATTCATATGATCCAATAATTCATGAGCTTATTGGATATCCAATAAGATAAGGGCTCCGACGGATATCTCATATCCGAATCTCTACTTATCGCAACGCCTACTATATGTGTGTGACCCTTTGGGCCCAATATCGAGCTGGTCGTGAGTCATACATATCAAAATTATTATCTCTATAATAAGTCACTTGACTAATCGATCACGGACGTACTAGGCCACTACGCCGTAGTCTCCAAACAATACAGGGGAATTCAATCCATTAGACACGTCTGTCCTCAGTTATCATACACTTATAGTCCCTCATCCATCTAATATCTCAGAGACCATATATCGGGCATGATATTGTCAGACCCATACGGTTTCTTCTCGAGTCTCGCTCTAATAAGATTCTTCGAGAGAACTCTTTCTCTTTCAATCTAAATGATCCTGACCAAGGATTTGCCTAAGCAAGAACGCATGAGATATTTCTCTCATGACACTGAGAGTGGATGATCCTCTAACGATACTCAATAGTCATCGTAAGGTTAGCTACCACTCTCGATAACCAACTATGCTAGATCTAAAACCTCTAGACCTATAAGTCAAGTATCAAAAAATGTAGTACTCATACAGAACATCCTTGGTGTCTTAAGTCTAAGGATTATATACACCACTGAGACTACAAAATCACTATATGACAATAAGGCATAATCAACTATTCAACATTCCGTAAGTGGATCAATCAGTGAACTCATTCCCCAATGAGCACCTATATTGTATCCCTAGTGTCCCCACAAGAATAGTTATGAAACCAACTGCATCCATCATATGAACGGGTATACAGTACATAAGTTTGTCCAGTTATCTCGATATCCCTCTCGAGTAACATATAACCGGGATTATTTAGGATTTGTGTTTAAAGGCGAATCAGTCTTATTATCATGATCTCATCACAATCCAATTCTCATTGCACAGATCCATTGACATCACAATATACTCAAGCAACAAGCAATATAAAGTGATAAAATGCTAAATAATAATAATAAGCAAAAAAACTATGTGTCAAGTCACACGTGTTATCACTCATGTAATTAGCTTACAGGGCACCTATAACTAGCACAAGGTGCAGCCCTCTAAGTTTCACATTGAGGTGTATGGCTCAAGAGCGAGTCCTTTTTAACTTTTACTCATCTGAAATATATGCCTTGGGTCTTCAAGTCGAGTGCACGACTAGGGAGCATGCAAGCTCGATCTAGGTGCAACTTTCGGGTCTTCATGTCGAGTGCACCGCTAGGGAGTGTGTAAGCTCAGCCTAGGTGTAACTCTTGGGTCTTTACGCTGAGTGCCTAGCTAGGGAGCACATAGACTCGGCCTAGGTGCATCCCTCGGGTCTTCATGTTGAGGTACATGACTAGGGAGTGCATATGCTCAACCTAGGTGCAACCCTCGGATATTCATGCCAAGGTGCATGGCTCAGGAGCACGTAGGCTCGGTTGAGGTGCAACCCTCGAGGCTTTACGTCGAGGTGCATGGCTTAGGAGCGAGTCGTTTTTAACTTTTACTCATCCAAGGTGCAGGCCTTGGGACTCCACACCGAGTGCACGACTAGGGAGCACACAGACTCGGCCTAGGTGTAACCCTAAGGTCTTTATGCCGAGTGCACGGCTAAAGAGCATGTAAGCTTAGCCTAAGTGTAGCCCTCAAGTCTTCATGCCAAGGTGCATGGCTCAGAAGTGCATAAGCTCAATCGAGGTGCAGGTCTTAGATCTTCACATTGAGTGCACGGTTAGGGAGCATGTAAGCTCGACCTAAGTGCAGCCCTCGGGTCTTCATGCCAAGGTGCACAGCTCGAGAGCACGTAGGCTCGACCGAGGTGCAAGGCCTTCACACTGAGTGCACGACTAGGGAGCATGTAAGCTCGACCTAGGTGCAACCCTTGGGGCTTCACGCCGAGGTGCATGGCTCGAAAGTGAGTCATTTTTAACTCTTACTCATCCAAGGTGCAAGCCTCAGGTCTTCAAGCCGAGTGCACGATTAGGGAGTACATAAGCTCGACCTAGGTGTAACCCTCGAGTCTTCATGTCGAGCGCATGACTAGGGAGCATGTAAGCTCTACATAGGTGCAGCCCTCAGGTCTTCATGCCGAGGTGCATAGCCTAGGAGCGAGTTCTTTTTAACTTTTACTCATCCGAGGTGCAGGCATCGGGGCTTCACGTTGAGTGTATGGCTAGGGAGCATGTAGGCTCGGCCTAGGTGCAACCCTTGGGTTTCACACCGAGTGCATGACTAAGGAGCATGAAAGCTCGACCTAGGTGCATCCCTTGGGTATTCATGTCGAGGTGCATGGCTAGGGAGCGCGTAGGCTCGACCTAAGTGCAGCCCTCGGGAAGCTAGGCTTGGCCTCATCGTGGCAGAGGATTGGGCCCATCCGAGGTCAAACTCAACCGCGTTGGAGCGGGGGTCCAGACCCATCCAGAGGTTCGGCTCAACCGCATTTAAGGTGCGAGACTAAATCCGCCAAGGGGTTTGACCACGTTGAAGCGGTAGGTTAGACTCGCTAAGGGGTTTGATCACGTTGAAGCGTTATATTGGATCGGCCAAGGGGTTTGACCATGTTAAAGCGGTAGACTAGACCCACTAAGGGGTTTGACCGTGTTGAAGTGATATGTTAGATCCACCAAGGGGTTTGACCATGTTGAGGTGGTAGATTGGACCTGCCATGGGGTTTGATCATGTTGAAGTAATTGATTGGACCCACTATAATACCTAACCAGTGACGGTGGATGATGCTACGATAGGTGGCATTTGTCGTTACTAAGGCACTTTGCCCAGGATGTGATGCGTCACCTTGCCCTTAGTATTTGTATTACCTCCGGTGCTTATTTACAAGCGAAGCTTTCTTCTATCTTAATGTTTGATGCACTTAGGGGGTTGTGTTCCTCTTTAGGTTTCGTTGGTGTGATGATTAGAGGCGCGACTTCCATGGCGGGTCTAAATTTAGTCACCATGGACTAGGGAATAGATCTGCCTTAACAACTTCTATTGTAGCATGTTGCCAACGATGGACGCCAGGGTGGAACGCTACTGAGGTTTGGGTCGTTGAGTTGCTCCTAGAGCTACGAGCAAAGGAAGCTAAGTAGAAGCTTGTAGAGGCCAAAAGGAAGCTATCAAGGATTAGGCGAAGGCACAGGATTGCTGAGGTCTAGCAAAGGAGGCTGAGTAGAGGCTCTAAGAGGCCCAATGGGCAGTGTCAAGGATGTGGCAAAGGTGCAGGGCTACTGAACCCTAGTTCCCTATGCTATCTTTAGTGCTACTAAGGACGAGGCGGAGGCACTGAGCTATTAAGGCCTGGTTCCTTGGTCTGTTCTTGATGTTGTCGAGGATGAGGCAAAGGCATTGGGCTGTTGAGGCCTGGTTCTTCGGTTGTCCTTGGCATTGCCGAGGACGGGGCAGAGGCACTAGACTGTTGAGGATTGGTTCCTTAGGCCATTTTAGTGCTGCCAAGGATGAGGCGGAGGTCCTGAGTTACTGAAGCCTAGTTCTTGGGCTATCCTTGGCATTGTTGAGGACGAGGCTGAGGTGCTATGCTGTTGAGGCTTAGTTCTTGGGTTGTCCATAGCGCTGTCGAGAATGAGGCGAAGGCGCTAAGCTGCTAAGGCATGGTCCATTGGGTTGTCATTGGCATTGCCGAGGATGAGGTGGAGGCACTAGGCTATTGAGGCTTGGTTCCTTGGGCTATCATTGGCGTTGCCAACGATGAGACGGAGGTACAGAGCTATTACAGCCTGGGTCCCTGCGCTTTCCCTAG